TTTAGTTCTAAAATGACTGAATTATGTATATATTTGTATGCATTAAGGTATGGACTGCTAGGCCTATTTATCTGTATGTATTAAGGTATGGACTGCTAAGCCCATTTGGTCCTGTTTCTGTATATAGGTATATCAGTTGATAAACACAGGTATTGAGGTTATCATATTTCGTTAAACACTTTGGCAATGACATATCAGAATCACCTGCTCAGCACTTGATATTCCAATACAGATGTGATGTTTACTTTGCCTGAGTGAGATTGATGTTATTGACTAGCACTTTATTGACATGGAGATCAATGATAAAGGAAAGTGGGCCACACTTACTGTCGGGGGATGTTGATCAAGCTTCGTTAGGCCATTTACTGCCCGAATTAATGATAAACAATTTACTGTTATTTAAATATTTTCAATCAAATAATAAGTAATTGCATGGAATTGGAACTTACACTTTTTCATATCTTCAATAAGAAATGTCCCGGGTCGAGTGACAAGAAATATGCAATTTTGTCCATAGTTGTACAGGTAAACAATACACCTGTTTACAAATTTGTATTTGTATACAAATTGCTCACCAAGTCATAGCTTGACAAAGGAACCAGTTTGTCTTGAAATGTTGCTACATGTTTAATATGTAAATTGTTTTTGCAGAAAGTAAAATTTTGATATCACTGCAGTTTGAGTTTTAGAGAAGCCCAGTGAAGTCACATTATAAAATATGTTCTGACTGTTGTACACACTGTACTGTATCCCTCTATGGAAGTAAAGACTGATAACTACTTTGTTCAATTTGATACTCTGGAATCTCACAGACTGAGTTTACAAGGGGTTTGAGGTAAAATGTGTATATGTGTTAGGGATCATTTGCTGACAGGCAAGTTATGTAAGTTAATCTCAAGCTTTTCAAGACATAAAAAATATTTATAGGCATATTGTGTTTAATCTACTACATTATCTTGTTTAAAAAAACAAGTTTTGTGAATTCTGTTGTTGTTTTAAGCACTATCAGTTACCATTAAATCTTCTCTACAGGTACCAGACTATTCCTGTGTCTATGGAGAGGGGTTTGAACCCAAAGTGGAGGTGGAGCCACCTGTCCAGCCACCGGTACACCACAAGGAGGAGATAACTGATGAACTGAGCCGGCGTTATGTACAACCGTAAGTTAAAGTCTCTTCCCTGACAGATGTCGAACATACAGTCCAACTCTGAGTCATTAATTATACAAAACAAATTTTGAGGTTTATGGAAAAAAGCTCTTGGAACAAAAAGTAAACATCAATTTATTTTCTTAAATTGCACAAGTCAAATTGTAATCTTTTACTGCAAATGCTACAGTTAACTAATGTGGCTATTCAGGAAATAGAAATGCAAAGCTTCAAAATGGGAGATGAATCCGTTGACAAGGGAAGTAACTCTAACAATAAAAGTCCTTAGTGCAGTGGTACACTTTCCCTTAACATATCATTCCTGTCTTTCAGAATACAACTTACTGGAGAATACATTGTTAACTTGATCAACCTTAATGATACTGCCTACCTCATGTCTACTGAAGTGTCGTCCTTC